ACAACTGCCTAAACCTACGGCCTATTCCACAGGATTGTAAAAGTAGGGATGTTTCTAAAATATGCATTTACTCCAATATCAAAACAGCTACGGTAAAAATAAAAAGACGTGCATCATCCCGGACATAATGCAACACCACATGCGAAATTACACAGATATGCGACGTACGGCAGAATGCGTTTTGGCTGCGAACATCTTCCAAAAAACTTGGCATCTCTTAACCGTGGGCAAAAACATCTGGAACCACTTATAAAAACCACCCCGTATCTGCATGAACTTTTACCTCCCCCCCCGCTATTCCAAACAACGCGTTTTTCTGGACCGTTCCAATTCGCCTCGTAATTGTAGGGGTGCGTCTGCGATATTACATTGACCGCGAAAGCAGCAACGGCAAAAATACACATTCGTGCATCAACACGGGCATGCCCGCAGACGGCGTATCAAATTGCGTGCCGATTACACAAAGAGAACCCAGTGTTTTGACTGCGAACATGAAAAATCAGCCGATTACAACACTCCGTCCGGAGGTCCTGACCTCCTTCACGGAGTAATAATAAGGAAATTAAAAAATAAATAATTGAAAATGAAATATGTTGTACAGATTACTAATGCAAGTAGTACCGGTACGGCGGTAGTAGATTGAATCATTCTAGTGACTAGTTTGTGTACAGGTACTAGTAACTCAAATAGTCATTCTTATAAATTATACAGCTTCTTTTTACCTCATCTGTGTCATGAAAATGTGATCCCAAATTCAATAGAATGAAATGAAATGCACAGAGGAAAACAGAATTTGGACTCTTACTCATCAGAAGACTTCCTTGTTACTAGTAATTAAATTAATAGTCATCTCTGTATAAATGTAGTTGTAACTTGGATGCAATGACAGATATAATTTTTTGTGGCAGCCTTACATTTTCAAGTTACCAGTACGGTAATGGTTGACAGAATAGAAAAGCATTCCTTATCCAAGCTGTCCTAATTTACAGATGACACCAAATCCTTGTACGAATTTTTGCCATGACTCAGGGGTGACATGGTGGCACTTCCCTAGGGACGTGCCTGTGTGGACTGTGGAAGACTGTTTTGGCACTACAGTGTGGGTGTGACCCTTTTCTATCTCCCAGTCTAGAATTTCCCGTCATCTGCACATGAAAGATCAGGTCTTCTGCGTGGGCGGTAAGCCCCTGATGTACAGGCACGGCGTTGGAATTTCCTTTCAACAGACAAAGAAATGACGACGAGTTGCCCCAGGACAAAGTTTCAATTCCCTAGATGAATATTCAACTCTGCCAAAAAATCCCGGACGACATATCTGTTACAACCAAAACTTTTATGGCCTGACCCCTTGTTGTTGTTGGTATCTAGACTTATGCTACGTTCTAGATGATGCTGGCAGCTGAAGTAGAAAGATAACATGTGGACTCGTGATAAGCTAAGGGTTACATATTTTGACATAAACTCGTAAGTTCTCCGTTAGCTGTGAAATTTTAGGATTGAAAACCCTCGTGACCGGCGAAGTACCTTTCGGGCCACAAATCTACCCTTTCCAGACATATTCTCTTACCTATTGTTGATATGAAGGTCGTGTTGAATGCGTCGTCTGAGAATCTGAAGAGGATACACGTCTTGCCCACACCGGAGTCACCGATTAGCAATAGTTTGAAGAGCAAGTCGTAGGTCTTCTTCGCCATTTTTGAAAATTTGGAGAACTACATCCAAGATGGCCGCGCTACCCTATTCCACAGTGTACATCACAGTGTCAGTGATTCCTCGGTCCTGTCATAAAATCTATCAGTACGCCTTGCCGGTTTGAAATGATGACTGCAATAAAATTAGACTAATTACGTTCAGGAGGTAGGTAGTTGTCTTTGTTGGAAAAGCTTTGAATATATTAAATACAGGCCTTTGGGAAATGGAAACCACTTAGATGTGGGGTAAGCCGTAGAGGTCAATGACGTCATGCCATGCGCGCTCGATAACATCCGGGTTCTTTTCGTACCTGCATATTTCAAACCAAAATGGCGGAAGAGGGAGATCCTGAATGGTAGGTGACGACACCGAGCTTTGTTTTTCTTGTCCCGTGCCTCTCTACTGTCATGGAAACTATGCGCCCTAGGGCTATAGAAACTATGGTAACCACAGAGGTGGTATAGCAACATTTCTGGTGTAATTTCTCAGGCATAAACGTTACCGAGGAAATCTAAAATCAACCTGAGCGCAAGACCGTCATAAAAATTATATTTGACAGATAGTAATTTGTACCACCGGTATCGGGACTTTTAACCAACATGTCGAAGAAAAACGCAGAGAGTGTAAAGGTGGTTGTAAGATGTCGTCCACTGAACCAGAAGGAGATAAAAGACGGTCACCAGCGGTGCGTGGACATGGACGTACCCCGCGGGGTGATCCAAATCACCAACCCGAACTCCCGCAACACAGAGCCGCCCAAAACATTCACCTTCGACGCCGTCTACGACTGGAACTCCAAACAGATAGAACTCTACGATGAGACTTTCCGGCCCCTTGTGCAGTCTGTTCTAGACGGCTTCAACGGAACCATCTTCGCGTACGGACAGACGGGCACGGGTAAAACCTGGACTATGGAGGGCGTGCGGACCGATCCGGAACTGAGAGGGGTGATTCCCAATTCATTTGAACATATCTTTACCCAGATATCCCGTTCCCAGAACCAACAGTACCTTGTACGCGCTTCCTACTTAGAAATCTACCAAGAAGAGATCAGAGATCTACTGGCCAAAGACCAGAGCAAGAGACTGGAGTTAAAGGAAAGGCCAGACACAGGGGTGTATGTCAAGGACTTGTCCTCATTTGTAACCAAGAGTTCCAAAGAGATCGAACATGTCATGAATGTGGGCAATCAGAATAGGTCTATAGGAGCCACCAACATGAACGAGCACAGTTCACGATCGCACGCGATCTTCATCATCACCGTGGAGTGCAGCGAAGTGAGAGAGGATGGGGAGAACCACATCCGCGTGGGGAAGCTCAATCTCGTCGATCTGGCCGGCAGCGAACGACAAGCCAAGACAGGTGCTACCGGAGAGCGCCTGAAGGAAGCGACCAAGATCAACCTGTCCCTTTCTGCACTCGGAAACGTCATCAATGCCCTGGTAGATGGGAAGTCTACGCACATTCCATACCGTGACTCCAAATTGACACGCCTCCTGCAAGACTCGCTAGGCGGGAACGCAAAAACCGTCATGGTTGCAAATATCGGTCCTGCCACGTACAACTATGACGAGACCATGAGTACACTACGGTATGCAAACCGAGCCAAGAGCATCAAGAACAAGCCCAAGATTAACGAAGATCCCAAAGATGCTCTCTTGCGAGAGTTCCAGGAAGAAATCGCAAGGCTGAAAGCCCAACTGGCCAAGAAAGGACCTGGAGCAAAGAAAGAAAAGGGTTCTAAGAAAGGGAAAAGGAGGAGTCGCCAGAAGAGTGAGTTTGGCTCTGATGAGGAGATAGAAGATGAAACAGAAGAGGACATCTCTGAGGAAGACACAGACAAGTACATACAGGTGGGTGTGTCATCTAACTAACCATGCCTGTTGTCACATTGAAGCCTGCAGTCATGTAGTTGCCTGAAAAGAGAGGGAGTGAACATGCTTTCTTTGTGTTCCACATGTATGACTGTTGCATGTAAATTACATGTAACCACATTTTCATCCCAGTAATTTTATAATGCCATGCAGATATATCAGAAGTTTACAGCCTACTACTTTAGAAATACTATGTGTAGTTCTACAATGGACTCTTTCATTAGTAATCATCAAATGCTCATGTGTACATCTTGTTATTGCATTGGTCTGCTCTCTGAACTGTTATTTTACATGAATAGAATCTACTACACATGTTGTACTGTTGATCCCTTTTTTGTCTATCCTCCACTCTGGTACTAGATGTCTCTCGAGTCCAGCATAAATCTTAAGGTATTCGGATTGTCCTTCATGTGGTATCACACCAGCAATTAACATTGGCTGATTTTCTGCACCTTCCTGCACAAAAATTTGCTTCTGTAGATGAATTCCTGTTGCTTTCATTGCTCCACAGTTGGTATTTTCCGCCCTGTAATAGTTTTGCAGTTTCATGGAGACACAAGAAGAGAATGCTAGACTTCTCAGTCTGTGTCTTAAAGATCCCAATGGTTTCTTGTTTGCAGGAACAACGTGAGAAGCTGGAGAAAGACAAGGGGGCGATCCTGCAGGATAAGAACATGCTGGCTGATGAGAAGGACAAACTTCTGCAGGAGATGGAGAAGAGAGACAAGGAGCTGAAACGGCAGCAGGAGGCCAGGTGAGGACATGAGTTATGGGATCGGGCCACACCAAGTAGATTTGGTGGTTCTCGTACTTTTGCATATAGCTCAACTGCTATCTAGAATTCTGGGCTTGTTACCCTTCTTACATCATCAGCTTTTCTTTCTTTAATACATAGTACATGTCATTGGTACCACCAGTCCTCCCCTTGTGTGAAGCGACTGTCCCATGATAAATACATTCTTTTCAACCTGACTAGACATGATGTACATTGTTATGATGAAAAATGGCTTCTGATTGGATTATGTACTAGTGATGTCATTCTGCTGCAGAACTGCCCCAATACAATGTATGATGATGAGTGTGTCCTGCTGTCTATGAATTCCCATAGCTGTTGTTTTAGAAAGATAATTTTTTCTTTGCAAATCTATAATCTCCTTGGATTAGAGTTCTACATTTGTCGCTCCCTGAATATAAAACCCATAAGGTTAACTAATTTAGGCCAAAAATCAAATCAGAAGCCATATGTACTCTAAACTGATTGTTTTGCATAATATCCTTGTGTCCTGTTTTCATCTGTATGGAGATTGTTGATAGATAGGTGACAGATGTTTATCTCATTTTTACCTCTGTGTATCTTTGGTGTGTCAGTTTCCTGTTGTTTTTCCATAGTTATTTCCACATACTACAATGTAGACACAGGGAAAATAAGTTATATCAAAGGTCTCAGAAAATATTATTTACACAGTGTCTTTAGCTTCCTGTTCAATTTGTATATGCATGTCTGTTGCCTAATGGGAGCCAGTAGAAAAATGCATAGACAGAATCAGTAAGAAATTCTCAATAATGAATAAAACAAGAAATTCACCAAAAGTCATGTATGAAATGTTTGATTTCCTGTTGCTACAGAAACTTGCTAGGGAACAAGATCAAGGCCATGGAGAGCAAGCTTCTGTGCGGTGGGAAGAACATCGTGGACCACACCAACGAGCAGCAGCGCGCCCTGGAGCAGCGGCGCCAGGAGATTGCCGAGCAGAAGCGGAAGGAGCGGGAGATGCAGCAGAAGATTGAGGAGCAGGAGGAGACCACCATCGAGATGAAGGGAACATACACCTCCTTACAGCAGGAGGTCGACATCAAGACTAAGAAACTTAAAAAGGTCAGAATTTCTCATACCCTGGAGTTAAGCCTTTTTAGCTTTATTACTCTCTCTCTGTTTGTCACTGCCCTGCCCTATCCGTGTTTCATTTGAAGTTTTGTTTAGAATTCGAAATGGTGCACTGAGCGCCTCCCCCACTGTTGACAATGCAGTGGCATGATTGGACTATGGCAGCATGAGATCATCCAATCATCAAAGGCCCTGCCCACCATGCCTCATTATGACAGTTAGAACTTGCAGTCTGCCCTTCTCCATATACAGAAATACATGTACATGTAAATGATTGCAGAAAGTGATCAGTTTTGCAGCCAGAAAACTTGACCTAAGAAAGGAAATGTTTCTTGCAGCTGTTTGCCAAGCTCCAGGCAGTGAAGTCTGAGATCCAGGACCTTCAGGAGGCTCATATCAACGACAGGCAGGAACTAGAGCAGACTCAGATGGAGCTGACCAGGGAACTCAAACTCAAGTAAGTCTGAATTACATGACATGTAACAAAGGCACAGGGTCAGGATCAACATGGAACAAAGAACAGGAGCAGAAAGGAAGTCACAGAGAACTACAGCAGATGCAACAGGAACTGATACAAGAGATAAATTGTTGTACATGTAGCTATAGCTATATTCATTTTGTAATGCCATTTAAGCAATCAAATGCTCTTGTTCTTCAGGGTCCTGGTGATAGAGAATTTCATCCCACCTGAGGAGAAGAAGAAGATCATGGACCGCTCCTACTTCGAGGAGGAAGAAGACACGTGGAAACTCAAACCTTGTTCAAAGGCTGAGTAAGTTTCTTTCTGGGGTTTGTGTACTGTTTTTTTTTCATTTGTCAGCCTATTCTTAGATAGTAGAACACTAAATGTGACATAGTCATTTAAGCCACCTTGTAACATTCTGCCATCTAACACTCCACAACATTGCAATCATATGAGGTATGCTGATTTTTCACCCCGTTCAATCAAAACAGGAATTACTTATACCTGAAAGGCCTCATTGTTGTGTCTGTGATATCATATTATGTGTAAGATAACTAACTCTGATGTGACTATTGTATTTCCCAGTACCTCCACCATGGCCAACAGACCTGTGTCTGCCATTGGTGGGCGCAGACCTGAGACAGAGTACGCCAGGATGGCAGCCGTCATGAACGGAAACCCTCGCTTCAAGGTAACAGGACAACACCCGTGTGCAGATGTATTTGGGAAGCTTGTTACCTCTGTATGGAGGTTTTGTTTTCAGTGTGCTGTCTGTTTCTTTGTGTGTGTCCGTAGTTATTGGGAGTAGAGTCACGGAAAGTGAGGGAGAGTGAAGTAACCGCAGACTGAGAGGAAGGTTGGATTAGAAGTGAAAATGGTCTCCCTGAAGGCTGGGAGGAAGTAAGGTGGAATTTGTGTTTTTTCTACATGTAGTAAGGCACCTAAACCAGATAGTCTATTTTTATACTAAAACTGAGGCAGAGCCTGAGGATCCATCCTTTCTGTTGCAAACCTCTCTTTACATGTCCCTGCTGTGTTTGCAGGGAGAGAATATCCTGTTTGTGGAGCTGGACATGCCGACCCGCACCACGCGGGACTACGAGGGTCCTGTGGTGGCACCCACCGTCCAGGCCGCGCTGGACAAGGCCCTGGAGGAGGAGGATAACCTGGAGGTGGACGCCAGCCATGACCTCTTCTCTCCTGGCAAGAGGAGGGACAAGATAAAGGGCAGCAAGTCTTCACGGTGAGATTGGTTCCTCTGTTAGCAACAACTGCAGATTATTACTGCCATGTATTGAGGGTTTGTTTTCATGGTGTCTGTGTGCTTGTTTCAAAACTGAAGTTAGGTCACATGTCCCAGAAAAGGTCATCTCATTTCCTGTCTTCAATTTCTGGCTATAGGCTTGTCTGTTGCATAGAGATACACAATAATGAATAGAACAAGAAGTTCACAACAATATTTCATGGGGTATGAGATCTTTGTATGTAATCACATTACAACTATAACTTTTGTTTGTGTTTCTTTTCAGACCTAAAACTGGAAAGAGAACATCTGCTGGCGGGAAAGGAACTGAGTCACAGCAGTACCCAGAGGCCCGTGGGCTTGTCCGAAAGTGAGACTTCAGCAAAGCATCCTGGGTGGAAAACCTTCATCAGCTGTTACTCCTGTGACCATTCAGCCATGCCACCTAGTGACCACAAGCAGAATTGCACATGTATTGAATTGTAAATATGAATAGGCATTGTCCAAGTGATTCTTGGCAATCAGAGAATGATTCCATAGAAAATGTTGTTCTGTGAAAATGAAACTGTATTGTATATCAGGACCTTACTGGTTACAAAAAATCTTTGTTTTTTTGGTGCTGCTGTTTAGTAAATCGTACCTTAAATTTTGCAATTTGCATATCTTTATAAGTAAATGTTATTTTCTATGTAGTTGAGTTTTGAGAGTGTTTGCCTTCTATACATTTTGACTCTGTTGTAATGTAGTTGTACTTGTGCACCAGTCTATGCAACAATTTATGTATGTGTACCTGTTTAACTTTTCTTGTTTAAATGCTGCATATAGTTAAAATCATTTTTGTATCCAATGGCTATTTTGCCACTGGCATGTTTGTGCATTACATTCACATAGAACTATGAGGACCAATCATTGAGAATGAAAAAAATGACCACTGCCTTGCCAACTGTAGGGCTCCACTTGTGATCAGTGCTGGTATAAACTGGCAGCTTTCTGTGCTGCCGATTTTCACAGAATGCACTGGAGTTGAAACGCCTTTTCTGAGCACAACATCGATTGACAAGGCTGCATCACCAAACACAGAACTTCTGTGAATATGTTATATATGTAGGAAAATGTAGGAAATGACATGTTGCATGTAATGATATCATTCTCCAAGCTGTTTGTTTTTTAAACCATTGACTTTCTGAGGTCTAATATGGTGAATTACTTCTCTATGATTCTTTATCTCAGTGATTGTGCTAGATTATTTGTTATTGAATCAGATTCTTTTAAGTCAGATACAAATGTAAAAGTACATATAGGAAACAATTGTAGCATATGCTAAATGGTATTTGGCCAGAATTGTGGTATAGCTCTGTCATGCACACTGTTGTGTGTGTGTGCAATACAGCTCTTGAACCTGTGATTCTAAGGGAGGTGTCTTTTTTTATTGCCCAGTTCATTGGATGCCAGACTGTTGCAGGTTTTAATTGAGGGGTGTCTGTAGTAAAATGTCTTGGGGTATGCTGTCTCTAGAGCCAAGGAACTGGACTGTGTAGACCCTGGCAATAGTCTGGCATTCTATCCAAGAGTACTAAGATGATGTTTTAGTGACCGCTTACTCTCCCATGGTAGCAAGTGAAAAGGGAGAGCCAGTGGTAACTACAATTATAAAGATGGCACCTAGGCTTAAGATTATGCACATCATATTTTGTTTGTAAGTAGGCTACAACTGGTTGAGAATGATGGGTCACTAGTGAGGAGACAGCCATGACTGTACAGCAAGATGTTTTTTTTACAAGCAAGCAGCTGATTGTATTGGTTTGCTGTTCTGCCTTATTTTTCACAGTGTGAATGTGGTTGTGCCTTACCAATGCTGACTGAAGGGCCCATATGTAGTCCAGTGTACATACATGTGGCTTACTCTGGGAATCTGAATGAAGATACATTTGTATTTCAATGTTTTGCACACAAAATGCTCAATGCCCCAACCTCTTCTCATTTTTACCTCACACATGACCCTCACCCTTTCAAAGTCACATTCTAGCTTTTTGTTTTAGGAAAAAATCATGGAACAATTTTTGGATCATCTGTCCTTGTCTTTCTATCAATGCAATGTTCAACAATGTGTTGTACATGGATATTCAGAATACTGTAATTGCAAATATTGAAACATTGTTACAGTAGTTTAGACCTTAGCCATACTTGTAAGACTTGGATGGGTCTTGTATAGCACACTTTCTCACATGGGAATAAATGTGCAAAATGATATGTAAAATATTATCATGCGTCTTGCACAGAATCGCTTATGAATATGTAACACCACAGATATATGCTGTTGGTTAGTATATACTCTGATTATCATATGGTATACTACGTTGAACTGTTGTTGATTGAAACTCTGCTGCCACTATGCACAGTGGGGATATCCTCACTAGATGGCTTTGAACAACGCTTGCAGCTACAGTCACACCTGCACAAGGCGACCACCTAGGGGACTGAAGAAAAGCAGCCGCCTTGGAGAGGTGGTAGCCTGGTAGGCTTCGGAAAGAGTTGACCAACTAAGTCGCCTGGGAAGGTTTGACTGTACATGTGCACAGGTTAGGTGTGACAGGTCGTGAAATACATTTGTACAACCAGCTGCTGCTGCGCTGCGTGCCTGCAAAGCCGGTGTGGTACACCGAAAGGCGGTCATAGCTATACAGAAAAAGATTGCTAGACTAGCCCAAATTTAAAAGCATGTTTTCAGTACTCTATGGGTGCCAAATGACCACAAATGTGAGTCGTCATTGTTAGCCAAAGCAAAGGTTGGGTCTTCACGAACACAGCTGATTATTCTTGCACATAAGCTAATTCATCATTTCACCTTGTTTGCAATCATATCCCGGTGTGCCCCGCTATATATATCATAGTACCGGCGAGAACAAAAGAACTGCAGGTATTGTATAACGTTATATTCCCGGAAGACATGGTATATATGCTGAGTGTCGCCAGGGGCTTATCAATATGAAATTCATACAATTGATATGGAAGTTGACTGTTCTACCAACAAACACTGTCTCAAAAGAAAATCGTGACACCCGTTCCAATACTATGGTACTATATCATCATACAAACGTATATGAAAGAACGCCAAGAACAATATCTACAGAACAAAGGCCGATAAAACGACGCTTCAATACCTCTTGGTGTGACTCGATCGTCTAATTACCATAAAGGTGCACGGCCGGGTGTGGCAGGACAATGAACCGGTGGGGTCGATTCACTGGGAGATGACCTCGCGGCATTGACACGGTATCACCTGCGCTTGGATACTGGAAGAGAAACTCGAACCCATTGCGGCATTCTATATGCCAGACGTCTTTCGGAAAAGATGGACAGAAGCTGCTACTACTTTACAGTGTCAAGGACTCTCCATAAGCACGTTGTAAGAGGTACGTGTTTTATATAAATACATTTGTAGTTTGTCTATCGTAGCCTCTGTGCGTTGGTTTTGCATACATCTTGGGATAATAAGCGATGATAACAGTAAAACAGGATAATTTTACTACAGATCGATCAAAATCAATATGATAGTTGACTATGTACAGTGTTGCAGTGGTACATGTAGCCTGACTAAGTCTCTCTCCTAGCAACCTGCCTGACTGATTGGATGGGGCCAATTATAAAGGCCCTTCAGCCAGAGATTGTGTAACTAGACTTTGGTACGCCATGAAGTATATCTGTTATAGTGCTTCGATTCACCAGTCGCCAGGGGCGTTAACCTTCACCCAGTCAATATACACTTAAACGGTAGAATCTTTGATGACAAAAGACAAATGTACGTGTCTTGATCCCATCTAGTCCGTCTAGATCGCCAAAAGTGATGTTATTGTTTACGTTATCTGGTTTTCAAGTCCTGATGCTTTTGATCGTCCACGTACAAATCCACGTTCTGTCCCGATACCCTGCCTGGGCGGCGTGGCTCTGTTATTAACGGGTCTAATGTCGGAATAATGACTGTCTAGTTTTGTGTACATCTGTCAAAGAGACATCACAACAAAGCTGACTCCGTCGTTGAAAAGGACGGTTGTAGTTAGCAGTCCTTTCGACGTCAGCTTTTATCGTTTTGTGTTGTTGTGGTGTTAGCATCTGCAACGTGGTCAGGAGCGATGATCTGGGTTGATCTGATGATTCGCAGTCGCTGTATAACGGACACCAACAGACATGTTTTATAGTTATGGTTCTGTTTATTGTTTTGGTGAGGTACTGGATAACGTTACTGTTGGTTCCTCATGTGTTGGGAGACCTCCTTAGGCTTAGCCGGCTCTGACATCTGTTCCTGGGAAATAAGAATATCTGTGTATTGAATCATTTGCCTGTGGGCAAGAAAGGGATGTCAATTGTCTGGATAGTTGCAGTTTATCTTATTATTCAGGATGGCCCAGCTCGGTGTCATGGCACTGGTATACAGTAGGACCATAGCACTGTAGTACACCGTGTGGTATTGGGACAAAATTAACGTTCGAATATCTGCGGAATGAAACTTGCTTACTCAAGCAAACATGAACTTTACAATGTCCATTGATCTGTGTTAGACCATGTTGATTTGATTATATGGATGACATCCACGCGCGAATGACGTTTCGTCCCTTTCAAAAAAAAAGGCTTCGACCATACTGTAAGTCGTAAGTAATATCATGGTTAACTCCATTGAAAGTGTAGAATAGAAATATATATTTCGCCTCAGTTTAGCCTCATAGAAAAGCCCTTCGTCCTTTCAAGGCAGGATCGAGTAATGAAACAAGCATGCCGCATGAAATTCCTTCGTATTTCATATCTAAAGCTACTGCGTATAAGGCGTTATATACCACAAAGGCATCCAGTATGTAGCGTCATATGATATTCACAATTGGATTTTGCCCATTCTAGCCGAATATCCTTTTTTTCATGAGAAGTGACGTAAGTACTATTTTGCCCTCCAATGCGTGACGTATGTGGATTAGGAAATATCAAAGGACTATTTTGTATGGGGGGGGGGCTTTGAGGCGGAGGGCGCCAGGAAAATTAGTCAGCAAACAGGTGGTTGATGGAGCCGATTCACGGAAAAGGTCAGGGAAGATTACTCGCTTTTAGGAGTAACAATACTCCCAAGGACATTTCTAATAACAGTCCACATCTGGTTTCAGCTTTTTGACCTCGTTAGGTCCTTTTTACTGAGGAATCCCGTGCCGCCGTCATGGGAATTTGGAAGCTAACCCTGTTCCAAAGCCAGGTCGTTAAGTGGCGCACAATGGCCTAGTGGCTATAGAGGACACGAGATCGGGAAGTCACGTTGTGTCCTTGGGATAGACACTTTACACGATTTTCTTCACTCCAGCTAGGTACTTGACTTCGGTTGAGGAGGTAATAGGCCTTGTAGTATTGGAAGAAGAAGGATGGGCTCTGTCTTCCAATACCGTGCCCTATATACAGTGGATTAACAACCAACCTCCCCTACGGCGTCAGAGGCAATGAGACCTTACCTTTACCTTACGTGTTCCCAAACAGATGTGTTTCATGTACGAAGTATGAGTACCTAATACCGGTACCTGTGTCTGTAGAAGCATTTAGATACAAGCTTAAGTCTGCATCTAAACACATGGTGTACTTGTGCCTGAACAAAATACAAATGAAATACTAGCGGGCACGATTTTTTAAACCGAAGGTAAGTACGTTACCTCTCCATTTTATGGCACTTGAAAATCAGCTTGTAAAGACCCTTTTTCAGAAAAAATGGAAACCCTCGTATAAAGACGACACGGGAATAGCAAAATACACGTAGGATAACCCACACAAATCACACATAGGATAACCCATACAATCAAACTTCTGATTGTGGGCACGTTGACAAAACACAATAACACGACTTAAAAGTATTCAATCTATGTCACACAGCACTTTGAATTGATGCAAAGACTAGGATTACAATAAAATGAATGAGTAGTAAATATAAATTTATCACCAGGTCTTGACAAATGACTGCCCACTGTGGGACAGCTGTGGTGTTCAAACAAGGCTGATGACGTGTTGAATTTAGAACGTTTTGCGGAACATTTTGTTCTATAGTGAGGGTAACGTGCCCCGAGGGTCGTTTCCATGGAACCCACATTCCAACATTCTTCTGCTTCCCTACATCACCTTTCACCTTTACAAACGTTACTTCACGAGAGTCTGTCTTCACACACAAACGTCTTTAATTTCACGACGTTTGGCCCCAAAGCGCGTCTGTCCGTCACCTGAGCGCCAAACCTGAGGTCAACAGATCTTTTACAGGTGGGTTGACATCATGTGACTTCTACTCCTAACAGTCCTAATAGCGTCTACTCACGGAAGAAGGCAAGGTCAAAATAATAACAAGAAAAATCCTAAGAGAATAGCCCTTTTTTTTTCAAAGGCCCAGGTCACATTCGTCATGCGATCGTCGTACGATCTTTGAGGGCAGTTTTGGGATAGTCGTGTATGTGTCTTGAAATTCAGTTGTCTTGTTACGGAAAAGGCTGCCTTTATCGTTCCTGGTGGTTTGTTCTGTCACAGCCTGATTGGGAACATCAAATAGTACAGCAACCCACGGCGAATGTAAATCAGTCGTATAACACACGCCCTCTTGTCCTGTATAGTGCGATAACTGTTGCAGTGAAAACGCTATCATATATGTCTCTTTGCATAAATGACACCTGTTATCCCTACATGTATACTCATCAACAAACACGTACAGCTATATAATTTGATGTCTTGCCTACATTTCCACACACCCTGTCTAGTCAATGCTTTCTTTGATCTTCTGTTGTGATCGATAATTTCACAGGTGGGGTCCAAGTAACTGTGGGTCACGTGACAGCCATCGATCGCCTGGATTAAAAGAAAGACGTTTCAAGGTCAAATCGATCTGGGTACTGTGGTCGTACCGTCTGGGTACTTGTCAAGTTGTTACTAAGCGCACCCTGTCATCGCAAACTCAGGGCATTCTCGAGACAGACGTACAATTTAACGTCATACTGTACGCCGCTGCCTTTCTCATTCCAGCATAGAGGGTTGACGGTATAGAAGGGATATCTGAGAAACAACAGAATGTTTGGATTTAAATTGCCCATCTAAGACCTTTGTCCATCTAAGGACACATCTACCTGCTTCCCTCAGGACCTACTCCTTACTCCCCAAGCGTATTACTGATTGCACAAATGATCAGCCCAGGGAGTGCCCTTACCGACAATGGAGGAAACACAATGTGCCTAGAACACACGGCAGTGTTAATGCGCTTTGTCGTGCTTCAGGTGAGTGCTGGGACAATAGGTGTTTCTGAGAAACCAAGTCTCATGAGGGTGAGGACATGTCACGTATGATCCAGCAGGAAAATGCATGTTCAGATATTCCCAGGGCTATTTATGGACAATCATAGAACACTATTATCCTCCAGTGACCCAATTTTGCTCTACACGTACACGTACATGTACCTGCATTATTTTTGTGGGTTAGAATTGGCCGCACAGTATTCATGAAAGAAGTTAGGGTTCTGATAACAAGAAATGTGTGCACAACTTAGGGTCCAGTCATAAAGGTCGTGCAATCGTCGCACGATCGCAGTGTGAGGGCATTCTTGTGATTGTCTTGTCCGTGACCTGCAAAATGCAGAAAAACGCACTCGCTAGAGATATACTCATAAAGCTGACGACCCACGTCTTGCAGGACACTGTCTTGCGCACGTATAGCGTGGTTTATGACGCGGTTATATTCGTCGTATATAGGACGTCGTACGATTTGATGTCATTGTATTACCAAGTAGGCCGTGTCAGAACAGATCGCTCACAAGAATTTCAGACAACTTTCTCCTAAATACGACTGTTGAATTTTGTACGACACATATACTACTATTCCAAGAATGCCCACGGTTTGCGGTCGTACGACGATCGTTCGACTTATGCGATCCGGCCCTTACTCGTACCGACTCGATACAAACCTTTCCCGTTAATCAGCACAATGACCTAAGCAAAGTATATTTATAAAATGCAAGTCATGTGTCATGGTGTGACAATATGATTCTCCAGCGGAACTCACAACAAACAAAAAGGGAAGAATGCCGATGATAAACAAGCTGACCTTTCACCAAAGGGATCAGGAACGCAATATGAAAAGAGGATCAACTAAAATTTTGGGAGCGTCCCAAAAGTTCCCTTTTCAATTAAATTCAAGTTTACCGATTAGACCGCCACGCAAGCTAACCGAACAGTATTTGTCGGTTCTGTTGAAATACGTAGTCTTAAACTCTTCTTGTAACACGCAGTCGCTAAAGCGCCATGACTAAAAGCCTCACTTGGCAGTCGCGGTACGTTCTCCGCTGTGCTTGACTTACATCTAAGCAAAGGCCTACATGTACCTGATTTACAGTAGACCAAGTTTGTCTCGAAAAAAAGAACAAAAAGAACAGATTGAACAATATGTCTTCCTTTTGTGAGAGCACACTTAAGTTAATCGCTAGCGCTGCCGTGGCGACTTCCCAACACTACTATCAAATCTACTGCTCCCCCGACAGCCGAATTCCTGTCCTAAATTTGTTGCTATAAAACCTTTTAGTCCCATACCGGGTGAATTATGGCGCAGCATTATGACTTGTATTCCCCACCGTTCATTGTTAGAGGAGACAAAAATTACGCCATGGTTATCAATCTTGCCTCGCAAATGTAATTCTGATAACCATCCACAAACACAGGCTGATTCAGGGAGTCTGCGTTTGTGGCGTTGCAGTTTTAGTAAAAGTCACGTTCGACCTAGTAGTGTAGTATATATAATCACCTAATGGTGCCTAACATGCAAAGAAGTCATTTATAATCTAGATATTAACTAGAGCATGAATGTTCTGTCCCGTGGCAATGTACTGTACATGTACATGTACATGTACATGACCTGTTACATGGTGAATATCATGCACGTGGGATGAATACAGCAAAAAGTGGAAGACAGGAAACGAAATAACCTTTCTGGGACCTTTGATCTAACGTCCTGTTAGAGTCCCCAATGTGAGTCGCCTGTGGAAATTACCACGGAAACACTAACACACAAACAGACTCACCGAAAACAAAACTTCCGTACAGGGAGGTAAAACATTCAAGATGAATAGTACATTACCACTGTGTTTACTCTTTCTAACATATCTCACAGTGACATATGTTTAACCGACGCGGTACCTGCACGAGTTGTGTTGTCACAATACATTGATGAATTGTTTCCCATTTCTCTGAACTGTGCTAGTAATTAGTCTTCACCTGAACCCAATAGCTTTACAATAACACACCACTTTTCAATTTGCACGCTACAATACACTTCCGTGTAAACCTTTCACGTAAAATTAATACCCCTCGTATATAGACAATGATTTTATTGTTATAGTAATGATAATATTACTTTCCAATTTTTTAATTGTTATCTTATACTAAGAGTGATTGCAGGGTTGATACCTTGCACGCTATGAAATGAGAATACTCTTTAAGAAATTTGGTGCTGTCAAACTTACGAACGATATTGCCTATCATTGATACAATTTCCGACATGATATCGATAAATTTGACGCCCGACCGTTGTTGGCGGTGAACATAAAGCGACACGTTCAAAGAGAAACAGTATGTCTGTGTCATCTACGTTTGTGACTTATTGACAAATTTGCGTGCAGGCGACATCCATGTATCTGTGAGCCGGACCAGATGTTACCAAGCGTCCTCCTCATGGCTGAGCAAGCCATATCTTTGGGGAAATTCCTTTTGTTTCTCTCTACGCGGCTTTAGAGGGTTGTTATGAATGATATTCATTCTATGTATCATCTGAATAACGGAAATATGATAAATCGTCCCATTGTCCACAGCCCGTACAGATACCTGCTTTCAAATTATCTATTGTGGATGTGATAGATAAATAAATCATGCACACGACCCGTGAAAGGGTTCAAATGAATACGTTATGTCCCCCATTCTGGAAATGGTATCTCCTGCCCGTGGACACACCTGCCGATGGTTGTGAGTCGTGTCAGCCGGTTTCAGGACGGATCCTCGGGCGTTACCCTTTAAATCCTCCCCATTCAACCCGCCGGATATATAACCCAGGTAGTGAGTGCGCTATCGCCATAGCGTTCGGGGACACATTCTACCTCGACAAAGGCGTTGCCAAGCGATGAGATTGTCCCGAAACGATCTACAGAGACCGTTATCATTGTCGTCCATTTTCCAGAGATAGGAGACACGAAGGGAAGAGCCACGCAGCGTACGTACACCACCGGCCGTTCGCCCGACGAGAACCGGCGGTGCACCTCACCAGCAACATGAGGACGGCAGACGTACTGTGGACGCTGATCCTGTTTAGTTTCATATCAAAAGGTGGGTGAAAATCGTCATGTCGTAAGGTGATTTCACGTCCCTACAGACAATTGAGTCACCAGGCATGGGACATGCAGTATGTGGGTGTTGATATTTTGTCACGCATGTGGGCATGCCATAACGGACCTGTAAATATTTTCTCAGTAATTTCACCCCACATATGCTCCGTGATATAGCACACCTACTGCACTGATGTCGCTATGTACAAACAGTGGGCTGTTATCGACCACGCTATTTTTAAGACGAACTGGGTCAGATTTTATAGCCCTTGCTCCGCCATGCCCTGGATGACCAAGGAGATTGGGAACCTTAAGGAAGAAGATTCATGTTGAAAGAACTATCAGGCTGAGGTTGATGTTACCAGAGAAATATTGTTTCCTTAAGCTTGTCATTTTCTAGAAAAATATTTTCATACAGTACCCGACAGTATGAAACGATGGGCTTGCAATGTGGTCTGAGACTGGGGTATGATAGCTGGAGATGCCATTTCATGTAATTCCCTTACGAGCTAGAGATAAATGTAGAAAATAGAGGCTGTATGTGTGGGGGAAGGGGAAGGAGCTAAGCTATCGTGGTTACGCCAAATGGCTCTAGTTCTTTACACACATTGTTTATGTTCATACTTCTTGTCAGGACTTTCAAAATTATGTCGTGTGGTGTGTGATACCTGTGTATGACCTGAGATAATACATGTAACAAGGTCAGGTATTAAGTACGGTTCGATGAGTTCATATGTCAGGTAAGGTCGTCCCTGATTAACCGAATATTGATTTCTTTTATTTAACTTTTAAAAAATAATAAGTTGTTCTCCATGGCCTAAAGGCCTGCCTAAAGTATTGAATAAAAAATCCCGACAGGCATTTTTTACGTTCAAACGTATATATATAACCCACTTATGGTGATATTGTGGTACTTAAGAGTAGCGCTGGTTGTTAAGAACTGTAAGTTCTAACGGCTTATATATACGAAAAGACGTTTGAGACCGTTAGAATTCTACCGGGATACCATTCAGGTATAAAAGAGATAAAAGCCACATCGGATGAACAAAAGCAAACAATACCTTAGGTACGTCGATGAAGGTTAGACATCCAGCTAGAACATTTCGAAAAATAGATCAAGCAACTGGATAAATTATCTAAAGAGCCAGGTGTTTCAGATAACATTCACTATCTTTCACCAGTGACTGAGAAATGACATACATGTATGCCGTACACATATCACGCCTGTACACAATATTGCAAAAAAAGTACGTTTTTTTTTTACACATATCGCATCAAACCTGTCGATAGAAGAATAATATTGCAAGGACACAACAAGGTCATCGCCGGTAGAGACAATTCCGACAACACAATGATCCACGCAAATCCAAATTACCAGGCAGAACACCACCGTTCAATTTGCCCGAGTGTGACGGAAATAAGTTAGTCGTAATGACCGCTTGGTCAAAACGAGCCCCAGAGATCTAAATGTTCCATAAGCGGCGCCGCCTTCGCAGACAAATTGGATCATTTACTTCCCCGCGGATTGATGTGAAATTCAGGTTCAGAACTCGAACCGCTAGAAGGGAGGGATTAACTCTAATGAATTGGATGTCGCGGCGTGCGGCGAGTCAGTATTTCAGTTGCAAATCGGTTGATTAATGGAAGTACATGGCTGCTTTTACTTCATGCGGCTTCTAAATCTGCATGATGAATTTCTCCCCTTTATTCTAGCAAAGTAATGAGCATTCAGAATAATACACGTGCGGGCTGTAAGATAAATTGAACTTATTTACATGGCGACAGTCTGTGGTTGAATTCAATGCAGTCGAAGAACACACAACAATGATGCATTGACAATGTTACACATGAATATAATATAGATCTAGAATTGTATTAATCACTTCCTTTTGTGTGTTGAATAAAATTCATTTTTCATCGGTTACCATATGTTTTCCCTTGCAATGTAATTACTTGCATGCAATAAAGAAAAGACCAACATATTTCAGGGCTTGAAATTCATCGATAGTAGCTGCACCTGTGCAACTAACCTAATTTTTTAAAACAAAGGTCACAACATAAAAAAAATAGAATGTCAGAAAACCTAATTACAAATCTTACTGCCTCTCTTCTAAAATTCTATTGCTGATTTATAATGTAACGGTAATACAACAAAGGTTTTATTAGTTTTTATGACTAGAATACTAGAGTATTCTGTTTACAATAGCACATTTAAGTATGTAACCTGCACAAATATATAAGTGCACGGCTCCAATTTTGTCTGGACAAAAGTGCATAAGTATGCTCGTAGTATTTCGAGCCCTGTATTGGTAACGTGACAAAAACATGCATTTCTGTACCATGAGTACACACACGCAGTGTCCTATACAAATCAGAGCACATATCGTCCCCAGGAGGAAAGAACTTCGACCTTATTCCGCGTGCAACAATGAGATTCATGCTGCCTTTGAGAGTATGAAGTCATCGATGTATTAACTGCATTAAATGACACCCTGGAAAGCCATAGTTGAAAATCAGGAATAATACATATGAAATGGGTTTTATGTCAATCATCCTTTGGTCAACTTGGGAAAGAAACTAAACTGCACGGATGAAAGATAAAAGTATCCTTAAGAATTTTCCATAGTTTTGTAGGAACAGCCGTGACATTTTTTGCTTACCACAGTCTGTTGTCGTTCTTGACAAGATGTCTCAACAACCTAAACAGAATCCGTGTTTATTCTGATGGGATCACTAGTAAGGACGCCCTGTGGGATGACAGGGAACATTATATCAGCACCTGTGTTAATAGGGAAAACACTCCGCTTTTTCTTTCCTTTTTTTTTTGTCAGTGAAAACGGCAGTGTTTTCATGAAGCTGACCCTCAATGCCAATCCCCATTGACAGTTGCCAGTCAAACAAGCCCTATTCCAGATCAGGTCTTATTCTACGCCTAAGGAACAACTCGCCACACCGATATGTTCCTGTTTGATTGACTTGAAGGACCAGTCCTTCTGTCCAGCTGTGGAGGACAGCGGCAGCCATGGTGCGAACACTGCCCAGAGTCTGGTACTGACTGAAGCGGATGTTGATGTTTACGAACGTCTGTCACTCACGACCCTCCAACCAGCAGATAAAGCGTCCCCGTTCCCCTGAAACGTACCAGTCACAGATGCGCCTGACTTGTGGTACTCTGGTGCCCCCATCTCCCTTATCTTGAACTACTTGCATAGCTATAGTTCCTACGTCTTCCGCATGTTGAAAGGCGAGATCATTTGTAATGGTGATTCGGTTGGGTGGGTGGCCGCAATGGCGCTGCAACGTTTGGCTTCCTTCCAAATGTCTAGCAGATGCCCAAATGTCCAGCAGATGGTTCTGTAGGATTTGTATAGATTATCGATTCTGTCAGATACGTAGGTATCGTTTGTACTTTCAGCATGAAATAAGAGGTGATAGATATCAAACATGCACGTTTGATAATAAAACTCCGATAAGAAATTGCCCAGTCTTTTCAAGATCTTGCCATGGATTCATACGGTAAGAGCGCGGTTACATTTGTCGTAGGTGGTAGTACGATTTTGATGTCCTAGTATTTTCAAGCAGGTGACAAAACTAACCGCCGACAAGGACCTTATACTGCATTTTTGATGACAATACAACTGGGTTTTGTACGACACAGCAAGCCTTTACTTTGGGATCGTACGACAATTATGCGACGAACAACGTTTTCTGACCGGAAGGAAAAGCCTGAAAGTGTGTATCATTTAGTCGGTTGAGTGACAGTTGGATTAGGTAAGCTCCACAGCCGATACACACCTGTCAACACGATGTGATAACGGGGAGATTTGCCGTCCATCTTGGGTGGACGTAAAACAACAGAGCGGGATCAACATCTTGTTAGTTCTCGACGGAGAAATCAGGGCAAGCCGTCTTATCTTTCGAAGTAACAGACGGGAGGACTGACCCATGGTCCCTCAGCTTGCAGTGCCGTGCACATAGACCTGTCACATATTCAACACCTTCCCACTTTGCTCACGGCCACTCCCTCAGCCAAGGTCGGTGCAGGGTTGGGAGTAGCCCGGAATCCATCATATTCTAGCTCCAGTTGGTACTCTGATCTCATCCAAGCAGAACATGAATTTCCCTACTTTTCACAAATCCATAGTTGGTTGGCGCAAATGACGTTTAAAAATTAGTAGGTAACCTCACCGAAAAACTCCCAACCGAAGATAGGATGACCTGATCTGGAGAAGGTCGGGAGGACATGTGTGGCTATCTTTACTGCTGGGGGTAAACTTTCACCGTGACAACCTGAGGTTGAGAGTGATAGAGAAATGTTGCTAGTGATAGAAATTGGCGCCATATGGCATGGTGTTATAGTAAAGTCTTTAGACCTTGAATTAGAAGATAAACAGATCGTCTTGCTAGTAAGAACTAGGATTAGGAGATATGAGTGGATCACATTTAGTGTGGTAGTACGACATGGCATCGTCAAACGTTAACCCAGTTTTCTGCCTCTCTGACAGGGCGGACCAACATGCCGCCGTACTTCTCTCCGTACGTACCCGGGACAGACCGCGGCAACATGCAGCACCTCGCCATACGGGAGGACACGCCTGTCGGTAAGAAATAAACGAGTGAATGAAGGAATGTATGAACGAATGGACGAATGAATAATGAGTGGATGAACGAGAAATTGGAGATTTCAAACTTTCGAGAAACATCTAGAGTTTAGATTTTGGTGAATTTGTTGGCACAACCAAATAGTTGGTCCCTAGATCCAGTCTTCTCCCAAAGTCTGAGGCATCAATGCTGACATCACTGACAGTACAACTGACTGACCCAAAAATAGAAGTAGGGCCTCAATTACCGAGTCACCAGTCCAATTAACTCACCAAGTTGCCGTTCGTTACTTGATCTATGGCGTTTGTGACCGACTTACTTCGACCCGCTGAACCCCGTATTTACAATCTTGTCTGATGACTGTTGACAAAGACCTGCAGGTTTGGGTCATCAAACATACCTGAAACCTTTCGGGAAACTTGAGAGTTGTGAGAAAATGCAATAAAGGACGAACGGAATTCAATTTTAAACAAAATGACGGTAAATTGGAAACGGAAATGAAAATGGACCCACTTTTTGTCCTGGGATTGATATCAAAAGTTACTTTCCTTTACGGAAATGTGTCCGCTTCCTTAAAATGCCGTATTCTCCACCGAGAATACCGGACACGAAGGCTTATCTCTGAGCCATGATAGCTTCATCTTTCTTGAATGCTGAAAATAAAGACATTTTGTTCCCTTTGTGTCTTCACAGGAAATGTTGCCTACACACCGCACACTAGGTGTACCGTTGACATATAGAGAATGCAGATTGGTTGAACTGTCACCAAAGCTGGTTCAATCTGGGTCTTTCCGTCTATAGTTAACCTAAAAAGATCTCGACACCTCCTGCGTGTTATGAAATTTTTCTGCACAATTTTTTAAATGACCAAATGTCATTCCGGACTAAGTACATGTATGTGTAATTTGCTAATGGCGCAGGTTTTTAGTCATAAACCTCATTTCCTTTGCATTTGATAACCGCGACAATGGCGAAAGATGAAGAACCCATAAATAGTTCACCGGAAACAGGTTGTAAGGGCCCGGTCATCGTGAAACGTTGTACGATCCTCGTTGGATTGAAAAGTGAGGGTAAAAAGTTTGGGGCCGGGCTTCTTGCTTGGTGCAATTTTGCCTAGTACCGAAAAGGCTGTCTTCTCATTTCGAAGATTGGTTCTGCCATAGCCTGCTGTAAAATCCTATGTATACGTCATCACGAATGAGTCCGCGCCGTAACGAAGAACTTCAGGCCCGTCCGTCCGGTTTACTCATGAGCTACATACTTTTCCAGTTGGGACAATTCCGACTTGATGCATTTAACCCCTGCACCGTTCGATATCATTACACAGCCCTTACCATATACATACAGGCCTCTAGTCTCCAAATTTCCCTGCCATCAACCGTTCAGACGAGATGGCCCATTGTCCGGTAATGTGCTGTGGTCTGTAGGAATGACTGCATCCATACAAATGTCCTGTACAGCTCGCAAGGGAACGGCTTGATATGTAACGCCGAACATTATGAAGACTCCCTAAACTACCGTGGCCGACAAGGACAAACCTGCGTCGCCTGCGCGCACACCTGCGTCGCCTGCGCGCACACCTGCGTCGCCTGCGCGCACACCTGCGTCATCTCTGCAAAGAGCTTCCTCGTCTGCGCACGACTACCTGCGTCGTGTCTGCCAAGAGCTTCCTCACGCCTGCACAGAAAGAGCTTCCTCGTCTGCGCACGAATACCTGCGTCGTGCCTGCCAAGAGCTTCCTCACGCCTGCTCAGAAAGAGATTCCTCGGCGACCTCGCTGCGCGCAACGAAAGCTCGCTGCACGGAAGAATACGTGTCACCCCTGCCTTGTTGAAGAATGGACGGTCCCCTATTATAGGTCAAGGGTCACATCGCAGTGACACTGTTCGCTGTCGTTTTTGTTTACTTCAGTCTCAAATTTGTTTTAGCTTTTATGCTTACAATGTCCAGCGCGTTTATTAATCAATAACGGTCCCGTTAGTGATAAAATTAATTAATAGAAATCCTGCATAGATTATGTTAATATTGCCCTTACGAAATCTGCCCCCTAACAACAGAACCACCTCGTCTTCGATCTTCCCCGGTAAGTGCCCGTTGTTTATTTGCATGAACAAAGCGAATGATTCCAAAGAAACATTTTGAGGACATCCTATGGCAGTCTGGGCATCGATTCTTCCCGACCCGCGACGATACACACGGTTTTTAGACCGGATTTGAAGTAGGCGACGATATGGGGGGAGGGGGGGGGGGCGAGGCACATGTAACGTTACAGTATAACTTCAACAAAAGCATAAATTCAACAAAATGAAGCAATCTTGTTTAAAGTAAAATAAAACATAACTAGAGATATCCCTCCAACCTTTTCCAGAATATTGAGGAGATCCATTCATTTGATCCAGAAATACACCTTGTCAAAGTTGCCTTTATTTTTGTCAGCCACATTGTTTACAATGTGTGAACTTCAGGTGCTGGCATAAATTCAAAAACATCAACTGATCTTCTTGAAACTGAACTGAAACTTGACTACTTATGTCACTCCCACATATTCTGGAATATCAAAGTGATCATGACTTTTGATCCAGAAATATGGACTGTCAAAGTTGCTTAATATTTTGTCAGCCATATTGTTTACAGTGTGTGAACATCATGTGCTGGCATAAATTCAAAAATATAGAATGATCTTCTTCAAATTCAAACAGAACATAACTGCATATCTCCTATCCCACTACTGCAGGATATAGAAGAGATCCATCATTTGATCCAGAAATATAGACTCTCAAACTTCCCAACATTTTGTCAGCCATATTGTTTACATTGTGGGAATTTCAGGTACTTGCATACATTTCAAAAACCACAACAGATTTCTTTAAAAGTCAAATGAAACAAAACTACATATGTAAGTCCAACATATTGCAGGATATTGAAAATGTACATGTTTTTGATAAAGAATTATAGACTTTCAAACATGTTCAATGATTTGTCATCCATATTGTGGACACTCAAAACTGCTTTGGGTGTCAACTATAATCCTAGGGAGAAATTCTCAAACAAATAAAGGATCTTTTCCCAAATAAAGTAGAAAAGTAGTACATATATATACATATTTCTAACATATGTTGTAATTTCAAAGAGATACATTCCTATCAACCAGAAGCATGAGCATAAGAGAATGATACACCTAGTGTAAGCATTGGCCAGGTCCCCCTCCCCCACCTGCAGTAAATGTTTACTAAATGATATTCATCAATGTTTGGATTTTATTATAAACACTCATGATCACCTATGAGCTGCACTGCCAATACTAGTAATATTATTGTGGAATAGGAACCCATGATGGGGTATCAACTTAGAAAAAGCCATACAAAGTCATGGTGTATGAATAGAAATGTAATGCATGTACCAGAGGATTATCTATGCAATGTTATGTGATGCAGTATGAAATTTGACAGTATTTTAGTTACTGATTGTCTGCAGAAAGAAAAGCAAATGATTATGGTGCTTTCATCTCATTATTATTCTCTTTATTTTCTAGTTAAAGTACCGGACCAAGGGTGGTACTGGTTTGTTCTACACCAGGAATGTGGAGTTCAACCCTGCCTAAGACACCAGATCACTATCTATTGCTATCTTCCTTTTCATCATTTAATGTTAAGACCAGAATATTCGTACCTTGGTTTAAAATCTGACAGTGTATTATATATATATATCTAAGTCAAGCCATTTCATTATTGGCATTATAATGTTCTGTGTTATGATATCTAAAGACAAGTATATGTGTATGTGGTAGGATCAATTCTAATAAGACATACCTTAATATATTGGAAGGTTATAGATACATGCATTTTGACTGGAATCATTATGATCATGATAGAAATAACTTGTTACATCACTGTGTACAATTTTTTTAAATATTATTGTCGTAAACCCAAGGTATTGCCTGTGTTGTACCATGTTTTTTGCATTCCTTTTGATACACATTAAAGACAAAACCTGCCATGCAATTGTCTATGTTGCCTTATTTTTTATAGATAATCATAGTATGATTTCACAACAGTGGAAGCATTGGGATGACAAGCTAGAAGACAAGTATCATGTTAGACAAGTGTCCAATAATTTTCTGAAAATCATCCCAGTACCAAGAAATTTAATTGGAATGGCCTGAGTATAAATTAAGCATAAATATTTACATATTTTAACAGCCGGACATTGTAAGCATAAAAACTAAAACAAATTTGAGACTGAAGTAAACAAAAACGACAGCGAACAGTGTCACTGCGATGTGACCCTTGACCAATAATAGGGGACCGTCCATTCTTCAACAAGGCAGGGGTGACACGTATTCTGCCGTGCAGCGAGCTTTCGTTGCGCGCAGCGAGGTCGCCGAGGAATCTCTTTCTGTGCAGGCGTGAGGAAGCTCTTGGCAGGCACGACGCAGGTATTCGTGCGCAGACAAGGAAGCTCTTTCTGTGCAGGCGTGAGGAAGCTCTTGGCAAACACGACGCAGGTAGTCGTGCGCAGACGAGGAAGCTCTTTGCAGACATGACGCAGGTATACGCGCAGGCGACACAGGTGTGCGCGCAGGCGACGCAGGTGTGCGCGCAGGCGACGCAGGTGTGCGCGCAGGCGACGCAGGTTTGTCCTTGTCGGCCACGGTACTAAACACCAAATTACCATTCAAACGAGGACTAAACTCGTTCTATATGATGAATAAGTCCTGTCCATTTGTTTCGGGCGGACGAAATCAATCTTCGTTATTCGACATACTGTCATTACACCAACCTATTATTAAACATTTCTCATGTTAGGAAATTTCTCTGTTAACAGGAATACGTTTTTGGCCTCTGTGTCACTTCGCTGCAGTATCTCTATCTGTATAACCTCCCCACAGTCATCCAGTGTTGATTCATCGATATCATGATATATCAAGATATCATAATATCACTATTACACTATAGACCTCAATTTCTGATGTCACAACTTGTACATATCTTCTACAGGGACTGTGGTTTACACACTGCACGGAAGCGACCCAGAAGGACAGACAGTTTATTACGGTATCGAGGGTGACATCGGCCGAGAACACTTCACAGTCGACCGGCTGTCAGGAACGGTCACCCTGAAGGAAGCTTTCGATCGAGAGGTGGGTCTAGTGTTCAGCCTGGATGCCAGACTGTTTCCATGGCCTACACAGGCTAGCTCCTTGGCTCCAGGGCCAACATGCCCAAAGATAATTTTACCAGAATCCTCTTCCCCCTGAGAAACAGTTTCTAACACAGGAGGGCTGTGGTAAAATTTTTCTTGTGAGCAGGTTGGCCCTGGAGCCGAGGATCAGGCCTGTGTAGGTCCTGTAAAAAGTTTGCTATCCCTATCCATGGTGACCTCGGACAAACAAAAGAAACATGCCCCGCCTTTAGAAATGACACTCTCTTACAATAAGATCAAATGATAGCTTGAAGATTAAACTTTGATGGCGATGGATTTACTTTGCATTCTTACGTGGCATGTTTTACAACAGCGAAGTCATTTCCCTTTGTGTGTAGTTCACAAAAGGTGCCTGTTGGGATGGAATTTCATTACATTACACGTCCGTACATGTGTGTGTCTAACTATTTGCTGGCACGATATCTTCGGAATGTATACTGTTCACATAAAGTTATCCCATTCCGACTATTTGCATTACACGTACATGTCCATAGTTATTGCGTGCCATACGACTGTCTGCGAATGCAAACATAACATAACTTTACATTTTTATTGCATCTTTAATAAACATCCTCTACGAGCCGGGCTTTTTGGCGAAGCCTCAGCCACCAGCCTAATAGTATAATATTGTGCACAGTCTGCGAGAGTGCTAAGCCCCCCTAAAAGACCCGACCCAGAGATGCAAGGAGGGTATTATTTTTATTTTTCAAAAAATGAGAGAAAGCACTACAGATCTCCAACCTCCATTGGTTTGCTGACCTAAAACTTTCCCAACGATGACATAATAGATGTCTTGTTCATTCCATGTACAGTTGGGGGCCGAGCATGACGTGGTGGTGACTATTGAGGACAGCACACCAGCCAACAAAGTAAGTCAATCGGCACTCAAAACATCATCAGTGGACACTATCAGCCGCCATAAAACACAAGTACGTAAGGCTGCGGTCACAAGCGTCGTACGATCGCCTTACGACGTTCTTGGAGCAGTCGTGTATGTGTCCTGCAAAATAAGTTGTATTTTTTAAATAAGATGCTGCCTGAGATCCTTGATGGTGGTTGTTTCCATCACAATTTGCTTGAAAATTTCACGGCATCAAACGACATACGACAAATGTACGACCCACTCCGTAACAAAACTTCCATCCGAGCAGGTTCGGGACCCTTTTTTGCTTCCCTTGATGGCCGTTGATGGTTATTACCATGATTCCTGGTCCCAGGAGACAGCCGGGGTTGGACCAGTATCGGCAGGCGCTGGTTATAGGACGATCGCGTGACAGAATCACGGCCGTCTGTCGCCTTTACCAATAACCCGACATTCCTCAATCCCCAGGTCATGAAATATTCACGACCGAAAAGGGAAGCTAAAGAAAGTGAACTCAGGACGCGATGAAAGAATGTATTGTTTTCAACTATGCGAAAATGTACAGGACGGAAATTAAAAACAAAATATCCCGTGGTTAAAGACAACAGTGTATTTCCACGCCAGTGGTGGCGGTAGGCAACCTCTAGAAACAACTGCATAACATGAACTGCTGGAAAGGCGTAACAAGGAGCTCGAGTATGTTTATAAAAACATGAACTGCGAGGGGCGAACCGGTAACCTGTACACCGTTCCGTGACAACTTGTCTCCCAGTGGGAGCGGAGAAGACAGCAGGGCTCTTAAAGTCTGCAATGAACTTGGCCGGTGACGACAATGCAACCAGATAACCCATTCAGACTTTTGAAGTCGTTAAGAGCCCGTGGAACGTTTCTCAAAAGGACGGAGGATGGTGTCCTTAACGTGCGTCATGATGACTTATGATGTACTCTGAGTAACTTGTCCCTAGGGAATATGTCTTTCATCCTCATCGCGCGACGTATGCAATCTTCAGTTCCTACAATTCCCCAGTGTCGACCTATAATTTCTGCTGGCTTCCGTCCAGATTCTGATATCTTTGACCTCTAGTCACTCTGCATGTCAATCTTCCCCACCCAGCTGCTGTCAACCTGCTCTGTTTCTTGACAAACAGATACACAGACCCAGAGCTCAGCCACCCAAACCGATACCTCTCTTTCCCGGATGTAATGAATCTGTTTTGTCATGTGTTTAAAAGATGGGGCACACATAGAACACCAGAACACAACAATGTCTCTGTCTTGACGATTATGGTTTCCTGAGTGACGTACTTTCATCAAATCCTAGCATGAAACCGTATTAAGTTATGTAAACACAATCTATTGTTACAGGACATATGGATGCTGTACAGTGTCTACAATGCAACATGCATTTTCACTGAAACAATCAAAACGATGCTGATGCTTCCGTTATCTTATAGATGATCTAGATACGATTGTTTCATCTGTTCCCTACTATCATTCAAAAGTATTATCGTGGTTGTCTGGTACCTGCGTACTATATCGGTACGCGGTGGGATACACGCTTTATGTCACGAAGGGGACATTAATGTCATCACGAAGATGACATGCAATCGTAAAACGGCTAGCTGGATATAACTACGCTAGATTCTGCAGTATATTAAATTTGACCAACTGGTATTATTATACTTTAAAGGGCCTTCTGAGTCTATATGCTCTTGCAATAATAAGCCTGTTACGAAATTTGAGTGGTCTCACATCACAAGAACCATAGCGTGATAAGCATAAACAGAAGAAATCACTACTGATGCTGACCTTCCAAAACGTTTACGATTTCTTTTGAAGACGGTAGATAACTTTAAAGGAACGATGCCACGAGTGCAGTTCATGCCTAGTCTCTGTTTCCCCCAGGTACGACAGTCGTCTAAAATCTTCGTGACCGACACGAACGACGAAACTCCCGTCTTCAAGAACCTGCCGTACAGGGTACAGATTCCGGAGGTAGGCGTTTTATCTGCTGACATTTGCCCATGAAACAACAAAATACAGATGTCACACCTCTTAAGTATTTGGAGCTGTTGTGGGTTTCTTCTTTTATTGTGAGTTACTATCACTGATTCTTTGTATCTTCTACTGTCACTGCCTGTGGAGAGACATTTTCCCTCCAATTCAGCCATGCTACTTGTCTGTGGTTGCAATATTTCTCCCCTCACTCATTCCTGTCACTCTACTTTAAATGACTACGTATACGGACACACAAGCAAATGAACAAGCAAACAAGCCGACAAGAAAACCTCCGTACACTAATAATAAGTTGGGCACTGCTAAAGTAAGCATATACTAACAATTTTTCCACTTTTGCCACAGAACTCGCCTGTTGGAACATTTGTGGTAAGAGTGTCGGCGGAAGATAGAGACTTGGGACTGGCCGGCACGGTACACTACAGAATACAGGTCAGAACGATGTGATCATTCATTCATATCTTGTTTCAACATTTCTGATTCCTTATCATAAGCATTAGATTTCATTAGATTAGGGGCCATTTCAATCCTGACTCCTTCTGGTCAGTCTGTGGTTACACCATTTCCCTCGCACTTCCTGTCACTCCGGGGACGTGTGTAATTGGTTCTCGTCTTCAGTAACGAAACATTTTTATTTTTCCTCAGGAATCGGAAGGTTCCAGCAATTTCTCCATAGATACCGTAAGAGGCGTGATTACCTTGGCTACCACGCTGGACTATGAGAAGAAGACATCCTACCAAGTCACAGTTATGGCCAGGGTAAGGCTAAAACAAACATACAAACAAACAAACAAACAAACAAACAAACAAACAATCTATTATAACAATCATTCTGATAAACACACAGCAGGAGGTTTGAAAGTTTCAATACATAAATTTGAAAATGTTAACTACAAAATTTAGCGTAATGGGCTGATGATCCGCCCTGAGGTGTAAACCACGGAGTGAGCGAAACAACATCAACAATATGACCGGTCTATATGGAGTAATAATGACCGATAGTTATGGCAAAATGGAACCTTCTCATTAGCCAACGTCATCTGGCTATATGATAACCTGAAACAATCTTGTTCAGGACGAAGGCGGATTTTACCGGGACCAGAAGGTGTACAGGAACAGCACGGCTGTAGTGGACGTGGAGGTGCTGGACCAACAGGACATGGACCCGGTGTTCTACGGACAACCATACCGGGTCAACATCACAGAGGACACACCTGTGGTAGGCACCATACCGAGTATTCTCATGTTTGGGATAAAGCCATACATATCAATCTAGCTGTGCTTTTTGTAAGAATCTAGCTGTGCTTTTTGTAAGAATCTAGCTGTGCTTTTTGTAAGTGAGGAAACAGACACATGCAGGTTATGGTTTTGTGCAAACAACGACGCATCAACTTGAAGATAGCACACTTTCATCTTAAGAATGTTCAAAACAAATGGAGAAACATTTATTTGCTTGGTTGTTTGCCTATTTATCCGGGACAATCCTTGTAGTGTACATTACGTGTCTTGACTCTCTAGGGTTCCTCCATCGCCGTAGTGTCGGCAGTGGACGGAGACAGGGGAACACCAAACGACATCCAGTACTCCGTCACATGTGGTAAGTATGAAGTACTAACCTACTGTCGATTTTGTGATCTGTCATAGGTAACTGTATCATTAGTATGTGATGCGGGGCAATGACAGAAATTCAGGTCAAAGGTCCCAGAGGAGGTTATCCAACTTCCTGTCTTCGATTTGCTGTTACATGTATGTCTGCTGCTTTTGTTTTTCAAATTTACAGAATCGCCGAGAAAATTCACAAAAATGAATCAAAAACAAGATTCCCAAAAAACTCTAATAAATATTACATTGATATTCATATAACTTCTTTTCATAGCGCAAGCGATTGCGATGATTTTTGCAAATTTAGAACCAATTGCCACTACGTATCGGCTACACAGATCAATTGGAACTGACGGAATCAATAGGAATTAACAGCGCTGTTATGTTGGTACAAATCTATTGAAAGGTGTGTGACAGCTGTGAGCAGTTGTGTTGCTCGTGTTTCTCAAGTTCAGCTCTATTCCGTCCGACAGTTGCTGGCGGTAGACACACAGTGAAATCGATTTCCCTATTTTGTGCGATATTGTTTATGGAAGCACTCAGCGCTTATGATAACTATTGATATAAAAAAGAAAAGAAGAACATTGAACATCGAGCGGTCCACGTATTTCATTTCTCCTCACAGAGTAAGATTGATTGTATGACCTGTTCCTGTCGAGACCATGCTGGGTCCAGACGTGTTTTGTGCCCCGGAGCCTGATGAAACTATGTAGCTTTATACACTCCGGTGAATTGTGTGCTTTGTGTATTCATAACAATATCTATTGAAATAACAATAGTAGTAGAACATGTGCCAACTGTGCTGTTTGCCCTGACAGACGCAGGCCCGTTATTTGACATCGATCCACACACAGGGGTCATCAGGGTCAACCAGTCCTTAGACAGAGACGACCCGACCATTGGGGACGTCCTGACTTTGGACGTGAAGGTGAAGCTCTCTTAGTTGTTCCGTCTAGTAAGACAACAGTATTTTTACCGCAGTAACATCACGACTGTAAATGTTAGCGTTTAACCTTCTGTAAATGGTAGCTTTGGAAAGTTTACCAAATAGGTATCAAACTGAACCTATAGTGCATTGTGGTACAAGAAAATAGCTTTTCAGCACCAAGGGCGGTTCAAATGTCTTACCCAGTCACGGGTCACTCTCGTAGACTCATACTCATAGACCGTCGTACGATTCTAATGGTGTAAAATTTTCAAGCAGGCCATGATATAACTAACCGCCGAGTTACAGGAGAGCCTTTTAGGAAAAACAAGACACCTGCATATCGTAAGGCAGATACAAGGCCAATCCAAGAATGCTCTCAATTCGCGATCGTACTAACGACAATCATGCTCTTACCTACCATTTTAAATGCGTATAGGCTATGGAGATCGGTCCCGGTGCAGGGCTGGACATCTGTACGCACGCCAGCGTCACCGTCAGGTTGCTGGACGTCAATGACGACTCGCCGACGTTCTATGAAGGTGAAGTGCCGCAGGCGGTGTTCAACACGTCCATCCCGGAGGACGCCGAGGGGGGAACATACCTCACACAGCTCAACATCGTCATCATGGACAGAGATGAGGTAAGGGCCATACCGCCCTTCGGCGTAACACGTCAGCTTAGTAGACATGCGGCGCAGTGGCAACTGGTTATATTACGCTGAACGACCTATCACACCTAGCCTTTGCACATCTAATTGCACGCATTCTTTAAAACTATTTAGTGAGGATGTCCCTATTGTACTTGGTGGCAGCAATTAACACTCTACGAGAATTCTAGGGAAAAATGAATTTTCAAAATCCCAATCTTGGGTTGATAACTCTCTCACTTGCAGGCTATTTCTTTTTCTTTTCTAAGGAGGTATTAGATACTTAGTACTTTATACGCTGAGTAGTTTTGTAAATTAAAAGATCCTGAATAGCTTTATTTACTTTTCAATCAGGGTAACAACGCGGTATTTGGTATCGACCTCCTTCCGGTGGTGGGACCAGAAGAGGACATTTTTGACGTCGACCCGAAGTTTGCGGCAAACATTGTTCACCTAGCGGTCCGGCTGAAGAGTACAGCGTCGTTGGACAGGGAGAAAACCAGCAACTACACTTACATGGTGAGACCATAAACAGATTCCTCTATATCTATCATGGAATCCATTCTATTCCAACTTGTCTGATCGCATCTAAGAAGAACATGACTTTCCCGATGTGTCAAAATTCTGGAAGTGTTGGAACACACGACTAGTAAAGACAACTAAGCAACCTCGCGGATGAATTCCACACCACAGACAACCTTGCTAGCGACTAGCTCCCAAACCATGGTCTAAAGAGGGTCCCGAGACCATGATCGGCTATGTGTGAGAAGCGTAAGATCTTCTTGTCTTCTCCTGTAGGTTTTCGCGCACGAAACCAGCACCCTTGAACGCCACAACGGCTCGGCCCTGCTGGTGGTTCAGCTGGAGGATGTGAATGACTGTCCTCCCGTCTTCAACTCCTCCAGACTGGAGGTCAGCGTGCCTGAGGACGTGGGAGTGGGGGAGACCATCACTACCGTTGTAGTAAGTAAAACTACACGCAGAGTTATTCAGAATATTGAACACAAACAATGAGACAAAACTGGTGTATGGTTTACTGTTGTTGGAAAGTACTAGTTGAAAAATTGTGTAAAAAATCCTCAGTAAAAGCAGATTGCCCACAATAGATGTCCCCTAACCAGATTTCACAATTCCCCAGGCTACTGACGGAGATGAAGAGGGAACACCGAACAGTGAGATACGTTACAGTATCGTCACTGGCAACGACGACGACCTCTTCGCCCTCGACGAGACCACGGGCGTCCTGACCTGGAACATGCCGGTGGACTACGAGAGTATAGACCAGAGTGACCGCGGAGCCTTCACGTTGGAAGTCCAGGCTCAGGACCAAGGACAGCCCCCACTGAGTAGCACGGTAGAAGTGGTCATCACGGTGGAGGTAGGTCATGGTGTCAAGGCTAGAAGGGCGCTGCTCCTCTCACATGTACATGCCTCTTTACATTATTTTCTTGGTTCTGTAGTAGGCGACTTGAGTACTTGGAAGTTACAGTCGCTTTTTGTTTTCTAGGCAGTATTTTCGGTGCTTCTTTATCATTTAATGGTTGTAAGGATCCACAGAGATGACTTTACAATAGTAAATTTCTTCCTTCTCTCTTGAAGTATCTTGGTGAGCAAAGAATTTGCGATTGTGTGTCGACTGTAGCTTGGAGCACGCCTCCTCCTGTAAGCCACAAGGTACTGCAACACACGATGACTCTCAAAACTAAATTGTTTTTTTGTTTGTTTGTTTGTTTATTGCTTACTTCACTGTCTAATTTCTATCCATGCAGTATCTAGAAGTATATTTCACTCCTGTACTACTATATTATTACTAGATCGAAGCTTCATATTCGATGGTATATGAGTATACTGAGTAATATTTCTTACCAGAATGCAAGTTGCCTTTACTAGTTGTATTTCGGTACATGAACATAGACATTGTGACTTAATGTTATTCATTGACTCCTTGACATGTCTTCAAGAGAGCAGTAATATCACTGTTAAATGTCAACTTGTCTCCACAAAAAGGAAAGTTCAATTACTGATATCAATATTGTATAGCGCCTTTTGTATGGGTCTCATGATATTGACGTTATGCCCTTGCCTGACCCTACCTGTAGGACGTCAACGACATCAATATTGTACGTCAACGATATCAATATTGTACGTTAACGATATTAATATTGGACGTCACTGATATCAATATTGTATAGTGCCTCTTGTGCGGGTCTCGTACTAATGACGTTATGCCCTTACCTGACCCTACCTGTAGGACGTCAACGACAACGCCCCGGCATGTCCTCACCTGTACAACTTCACCGTCACGCAAAACGTCATCCCAGGTAACGTGGGCTTGAAAACAGCGGGATTTACTAATTATTAAAGCTGCTCCCACCAGCTAGTCACGTAAGGCCATGGCTGCTGGCCATTGATGCCTAGCTAATGTATGCAAGTGACACCTACCATATGGTCTACCTAATTAACGATCCACATACACTTTATAGCTAATAACATATCAGATCATAGGTCACGGTCGTTACAACAGGTTTTGATTCGTCATGTTCATGTGTTACCGAATTGACTCAAAATGTAATGTCGACGAAAGTGTAATGTACCATAGATAGTTCAAATCAACAGGTGCAAATCCAACATACTGTGCAGATTTTATACGTTATGTAAAATAACCAGGAGTTGCATTTGCACCTCCAATATATATTGTTTTTATAAACTATGGAGTGCAATTTTCTTGGATGATATTTTTCGAATTTCGGCTGGCTAGACAATAGGAAACAAAAACATCCTTGGTGTCAGAAATGAAAGACGTTCTATAGAAAGTGATGTAACAGGTATTGACCATCAAAAATGTATTTTGCCACTGGCAGGGTCCTACGTTGGCAGAGTTGCAGCAGTAGACCTGGACGAGGGCGACACCCAGCGGATTACTTACGAGCTGCCTCAAAATCTGAAAAACAAATTCGCCATAGACCAGGCGACGGGAGGACTCTTTGTTGCCAGCGGACCGTCTGCGACGTTCGACAATGAGGCAGAGGGTCAGGTGAGCACACTGTTCCAAAACACTGAATAATGTGTAGAAACATAGCAATGATTGTATAATTACTTCTGGGTACGAAAGTATTATTTTTGTTGGCTGAGCTGTGGGTTTGTGTGTGTCAGAACAGAGTAGGTTGGCAGTACGTGAACGGGGGAAGATTGACAGGCAGAATGACAGGAGGTCAAAAGGAATCGGCCCGCAGGTTAAACGCGAAGGTCTCATAATCTGGCCGGGAGTAAGCAGCAGGAATTAGTGGTCACCATGGTGGAATTCAGGAAGCCGACGATTACATTTGTCTGAAATCTCCGATCTTTTTTGTTAAGTGTGGATTGAGTGCTTGAGCACCGGTTTGTAAATATGTATTCCTCGTCTCCCTCCAGGTGTACGACCTGGTAGTGTACGCCAACGACAACGGCGTGCCTCCACAGATAGGCATATGTCGGGTCAAGGTGAAGATCACCAGGGCGCAGAGCACGCCGGGTAACGGCGAGAGACCCATGTTCACGGAAGAGTCCGTGTACTTGACCTGCGCCGGCGATTACGTCATGAAGGTGGAGATAGCAAAGTCCGGAGCGTCAGGTGAGAAAAATCTGTAGTTTATCTTCAACAATCAGGGCTTTTTTAAATCAAAAACTAATTTACATGGCCTTCTCTAGAATTGGATCAGGTAACGAAAAAGATGGAAGGATGATAATTCTTACAAGGTTCATGATGTGCAGCTACAGCTGAATCATTTGTGGAAAAGTATCGAGAAAATCATGGTCATGTCCCCCTTGCCAATATCCAGGTAACACAGAAGGACGGACACTTCACATTGGCGACTCTACGGCGTCCGACTGTCTGGCAACCGAGAACTCCACCCACTACGTCCTGACCACGCGTGTGGACGAGTGCGGCACCACCAAAACCATCCACTCCGGAAACCGCGTCATCTACTCCAACACGGTCGACTTTATACCCGTGCCTGACGAAGATACATCCAACATGACGGCGCTGGCGGTGGGTATCTGTGTAGTTATGGGACCGCTATCTCGTTTAGACAATATGAACAAAGGGTCGGAAGCATACCAAATTCCGTATCTGTAAGTCCTGCTTATAGGAGAGTCACTGGGTGACTTACAAACCATACAAACTTCCACAGTTGGGTAAGAAAGCTATATTTTTACACATCCCTCATTTTAACACACTGCGGTCAACACCAAATGACCTCAGAGAAGTGACTCTAGGGCTGGGAGCGTAGGCCTTGTCATGACCTTAGACATGTAAATATCGATACAATTCCGATATATTCGACGATTCAGCGTTGTTGTTGATTGCTGTACTTCCAGCTGGCGATGCGTCAGTACGCGGTAGTGAAGGTTGTCTGCATGTACACGGCGCGAGGTGTGGCGTCAACTCACTTCAGCCCGGAGAGGGATCCTACCATCGTCAAGGTGGCTGACGGCGAGATGGCCTACCACCTGGACCTGTACCCGGACGAACAATTCACCACGCCTTTCAAGTAAGAACATGTACTCAAGTAGTCCCTGAACTAAGCTCAATGTAAGGGCCCATTACCACACGCCTTGCGATCGTCGTATGTCGTACGATGAAAGTTTTGTGGCAACCAAAAAGAAAACTGATTGCGTGATGGCGATTCAGCACCATGAAAAGCGCCCATTGCGACCGAAGAGAGGCACTGCAACAGATCAAACGGTTTTGGTATATCTGTCCGTTGTGGTTAAAATATTTGTTGAAACCAAAAAGAAAGTACTGCAATGTGAAGGCGATTCAGCACCATGAAAAGCGCCCCCTTACAGCCGGAGAGACATTAGAACAGGTCTAAGCCGTTTTGGTATATATGTCTATCGTTTTCACTATCCACTTAGGTACATCGTAGTGTTGTAGAATATATAAAGCAACTGCCCACCAAGTTTCGATTTTCATCAATCTTCCTAGCTTTTGCAGAACACTCCAGAAATAATCCAACATTTCTAAGTTACATCCCATTGTGTCCCCCACTCCAGGGTCTATCCCATTGACGTCAGCATGGGCGAGTCCATGTACTTTGAGGTGGGTCTGGACTCCCCTGACCTCGCTCTCATCGTCTTTGCGGAAAACTGTTGGGCCTCCACAAGTCCCAGCGGAAGTACGGCCAACGCCCACTGGATCATACGAGACGGGTGAGACAAACGTCAATCAATTATTTATCCCTCGTCTGGTTGGAGGAGATGAATAATTCATTCCATCTGGCGAATAGCTGTTGCATAGGCTTGGTTAAAAAGTGATGGTGTGGCAAATTGCTTTGTTATAAACTGTCAAAGGTTTCTGGACAATTTACTGCTGGCTAGACAAAGTCTTGTTTAAAGTGACAAAACCTAATCGACATGAGTTTGACGTCAATGCGCTGTCCAGAATCATGGCGTGTAAGATAATTGCCTTTTTACTTTCTTTGTATTCAACCATCTTATGGTCGGTAAGATTGACAGGTAGTTGAAATATGGAGTCTGACAGCAGAAAGGGTACATCAGGGCATGGCGAGTTTACAATCGTCTATGTCAGGACACCGATTGTACTACAAGGATAAGACATGTAGGTCTAAAAGTAATCGTAGATTTGGGACCTTGGTGACCTACAAGTTCCCAAACCTCGGCAAGTGTTTTGAGTTTTCGCGAATGTATTGAAACTGTAGAGGAGATCGTATAATGTAATTTAACTGTTATTACACTTCCTGAATTCCTCCACACTCCACTTACTCTCGCTCACGGTGTGCTGGATCACCTTTAGACGTGACCTCTCGATCCAGAGCACCCCACCCCATCAATCATGCAACAGAAACTATCGGGACAAGAAGAGACCAAAATGTTATAAGGAAATATAACCTCCTTGCAGAGACACACATGGAGTAATAAAGTGTACTAAATCTGAATCTTTTTCTGTCCAGTTGTGTCGTCGATGAAAGTTTGCAAGTTCTGCCGTCCGACCAGCGGCGGTTCCGCTTCACCCTGGCGGCCTTTGAACTGTTACAGTCGAACCCCTGGGTCTATGTCTACTGCGAAGTCGTCGTGTGCAACATGACCGAGCTCAACTCCAGGTGCCACCAAGGGTGCATCAGCCAGGCCACCGAATCTCCGCCGAGTGAAGACGACAACTTCCGAAGGAAACGTTCGGACGGCGCCGATGGCATCAGAAGCAGCGGCGAGTTTTCACGAACATCGCTCGGGAGATGGAGGAACACCAGAGACAGTGTCGTCCGAAGACTACACGAAGTCGCACGGCAGAGAAGAGCGAGTTCGGCTAATCTCATAACACTAACCACGCCTGGCCCGATATCAGGGTACCTGGCGTGTGGAAAGAACTGTGGAAACGAGAGGGAGACAACCGCAATGTCACAAGTCGGTAGGTATACTCGATTTGTATTTATGAAGTTAGAGCGCTTTTCATGGTGCTGAATCGCCATCACATGACAGTACTGTCTTCTTGGTTGCTCGTTGTGAAGGAAACTTGGGTCATTACCTGATGGTGACCAATGAACACTTCCCAGAACTCAGACTTGTTGCCCTGGGAAGAATCTATGATGATCAATAATGTCAATTTCCACACATGTCAATTTCTTATTCTTGTGTATTTCATGATTGTTTCTCGCAGGGACGGAGCGATGGGTCCTGTACGGCACAGTGTTGGTGGTAGCGCTGATGGTCTGTATCACCGTACTCATCTCCGTCGCACTAATCCAACGTAGACTCAGCAACTCAACACGGTGAACAGCGTTCCCGGAAATGGTTTTAGTGATCACCAATTAAATGAGTGCCTGTGTTGAAGTAGACCAATCAACATCCTTGTAACATGTAAGGCAACGTTGGAGAGCTAGCCTGAACAGAGAGTATGTGTGCAACCTTTTGATAGGTTGCAGTCGGGACAATGTACCAAAATAAACCATCTATTGTGTAGGTAAGAAAGTAAAATTGATTATCTGAGGCGTTGTAGTGAGATTAGAAAGAAATTGGTATGCAGTCAGATTATGGCTGAAGAATCAAAAGGGAAACTAGTGGGATACTGTTGTTTGTGAATGGATACTTTGTGTAGAATCTTGGTCAAGGTTTAACCTTAACATATCACCAACGATTGCTAAGCAATTCAGCCGGACTGAATTGTCAAAAGTGAAAAATATCAAACCCCTTAATGAAAGATTGGAAAACTGCTATGAGGACGAGCTTGAGGAAAGGTGTGCTGTATGTACATGTGGTTCAGGTATTGTTGAATAGAGAGTCTAGTTTTCTACACAGAGGCTATTGCAGAGTGTACGTGACTGTAGATATGTGTACAGGAAAGAAGTCCTATCTATATGTACAAAAGACAGAGAATGTATATTTTAAAGTAACAGGTCCTGTAACATTGACCGACATTTATGTTTGTTTTAATGACAGTCAAGGTTTTGTCTAAAAATATCTTTATGTAATGCAGAATGATCAAAAATAGGAGTGATAGTAACTTCTGTTTATAATTTTAATCTTAACTTTTTATTCAGTAACTTGAGTAAGTGATTTAGTTCTCTCATTACATCACATTATACAACTAACATATACATGTACATACATCATAATTTCCAGTTGTGTATAAAGGTTCTATCTCTGGGCCGAGGGGAAACCAAGTTGTAGAATGGAAACTACACGGTTCAGGTTGAATGCATGGGTGATGCACCTTTGTCTTTTCACGAAAAGATACTTACAAGGCCAGTCTGAGAGTCAAGGTGTCACACTGGTTTGGTCTGTAAAAGTATCTAAGATGCAACTGGATGTTGCCTTAAAACCAGATGAAAGTTTTAAAAAACGAAGAGAGATGATGAGAATTTCAATGTAAGATACCAGTAGGTACAAAGTATTTATTGTACCAGCTTATCTAGGTGCTAGGCAACACTTTTATCCTTGTTGAGGGACTGACCATTATTTCTACCTCGTTCCAGTCGCATGGCTGTGTAAGGCATTCTATCTATTATGTTCATGTTGTACAGTCTGTCCTTTTGTAACTTCCCATGATGCATTCAACAACTTCTCAGACAGCAATATATCGAGTGTATAATATAATATTTATTACACATTTATACAGACATAGGTACTTCAATATTACTACTGAACATTTATACAATGAAGGTATCAGTTACAGGTGAAGCTAAAAGCTTCTTAGAAGACAGACAAGGAAATACCTCTTCTCTCCAAAGTGCATGAAGGTACAATGTACAATATAAAATTTCACATAAACACACTTCAATCCACATAGATTAAAGCTTTCTTTCCTGTATGCTGTAAATGGCTTAAGTGTCAGTACTAACGTTATACAAAGTAAAATACTTTTTTTTCCAAAATTTCTCCAGTCAACCTACTGACAACAGGAGGCTAGCGATTCCTAGGGTTTAATAGCAGAGCAATTCTGTTAAATGTGTCAGAAGGGAAAATCAACAAAATGTCTCAAAATGAAGGAAAACATCTGACACATGACATGGCCATATGTGAAGATTGTGGTACATGTACATGTACATATTCCTCTTTGACAGGAATATGGAAGGGCTCTTATGAGACTTTTTAGGCAGCTTGAAAGAATATGTAATGTCATTTTGCACCTATATGGTATATGCAATTATAGTGTTGTACCTGTAATCTCATGTCTGTACATGATCAAGACATATATCTAATATTACTACATCTGTTCACCACTTTATTCTCTTCGTCCAATGTAAATGTCATGACAGTCCAAACATATAATATGGTTTTCAACCTTTGTCATGGTGCCCACATACCAGCATTAGTTCACATAAACATTGCAACTTTAGATATTACACATAGTATATACGAAATACACGACATCCCAACAACTACAGTAACTGTAATAACTTCTCATTTGTTTGTACTGCAGCAAAACCTTGCACAAACATTGTCACTGCTACATACATAACTATCACTTCTCTAAGATTCACGTTTCACAAAATAGCAACTTTTCTTCCCAAAAATAGTACAAAAATGGCAAACTTACTTTTGATGTCAATGACGAGATACAATTTTCTATAGGAGATAGAATGCAATACTGATACTGATCAAGTCAATTTGTTGTCATACACATTTGATATATATATGTGACAGCTTGGATCCCATTTTATAGTGAAGAAGCAGTGTTGGCATGTCTGAGCAATAACTATCCTTTATCAATGTTAATATCAACTCCTACACTTGTAGCTGCTTTGAAGTGAACATTTGTAATGGTTGTCATGCTTGTGCAGATCTGTTGTGATTCAGTATGGACAAAATGCAGAGTTGTAGTACAACATAACATAGATAACATTATAGTGAGTCTGTCATGTGTGCCCATAAAAGCAAGAATATCTGACCATATCCCCTGTTTCATGACACAGTAAGTTATATGACATTGTATCATACAGCATTATAGAAATGATGAAAACACATGGATTATAGTCCTATCCTAATGCAATAAAATTCATGACTTCAGGCATATGTATCAATGTCTTGAGCAACTCATTGTTCATAGATACAATGTATCACTTTCAGGGATATCTATTTAAACAAGCATTATGATACATACGTTTACACATGCAACAATTAACTGCACCAAGAGCAGCCAGAACAACAGAATGTTTCCACAATGAATTAGATTGCAAAACATGAAAGTTTTAAAACTTGTAGACAAACCTGGTACAACTCTTGTGATGGAGCTGCTGTCATGGATCAAAAGCGCCCCCTTGTGTGAGAAGAAAGACATGCAGTTGTACTCAAGTTAAAAAGCATGCAGGTGGTACGGGACAATAATGTAAGCTTAACAAGTATGCTAAACACAAGCAACTGAGAAGTAATTAACCTTCAGCCTGCTAAGTTAGCTATTTGGCACCAAATGTGTGTTGGTCACCAAGTTTGATAGGTAGCAGGGCTATGGTCAAACTAATGAAGGGAAAAAACAGCAGAAAGGTATTAGCCTCCTCTTGTTTAAAATGCAGCGAGATG